TGGGGTGCCTAAAAACATTGTTTCTGACAGAGGTACCCAATTTATTTCTAGGTTCTGGTGTGCCTTTTGTTATTCCGAGGAACTAACAAGCCTGAAACCAAGCCAGACCCAGGACCTCTGAGTGATGCTCCTGTTTCTAGCAATAGCCCCAGATCTAGTAGGATGACACGTTTGTAAATCACTGGTAATGTGAGTTCCTTATGGTATGTATCCTTGATTTCTGTTTACGTGTCTACCCTCCTGGTGTATCATGATTCTCTATGGTCCTTACTGTTCTATGCCTCGTTGGTTTCTTCCTTGGGACTTTCCATTTGTCATTCCTCTTAAACCTCCTCCTTGTTTTTCTCACTTGGTTGGGTGACCCGGGTTCTCTTCTGTCACCTGTAGGAGGTCTTGAAGGTTTGGAGCGCCAGGAGTCGCTCCTTAAGGGGTGGTACTGTCACGACACTCCTTAGTTAATATGCCCTCATGCACTACTCACCACTGTTTCTGTTTGGCACTCTTTCACATTTCTTTTCATTAAGCACTACACCTGGCCCTTGTTTAGCACCTATATATTCTGGTTTCTCCCCTCACTCCCTGTCAGATCATTATCCTTTATCCTGTACCTGCTGTTTCCTGGTTCCCGTGATTCTGACTCCTTGCTCCTGTGTCTTGTATCCTGTGTATCCTGATCCTGTGTTCCTGGCGGCAGCCATTTTAAACAAAGCGAAAGACCAGCGGTGTTCGGCCCAGATTCTATGGAACTGAAAACGGAAATTTTTTCCGCCGAACACCGCTGAAGCCACCGACCTCCCTTCTCAATCGACAAAAGTATACGAACACCGGCCGTTCGGCAGGTTGAAACGCACGAATGGACAACCCAGATAGCCTTCCCATGGAGTCAATCGCATACCGAAAGACTGTAACAGACTTTGACTCCATGGAGATTGAAATATGCGTATGGGATCTGAGCGCTATTCGCCAATAATATGCACTCAGATCCAGGCTATCTGGGGATGTGTGATACGAATGAGAAATGTTCGGCAATTATAAAGTTATGTATTTTTATGTGGTTTTTTTTGTGTTATATTTAAAATGGCGATTTGCCTCTGTCCTGGAGATAATTGAATTACTTCTCAATTATCTCCAGGGCAGAAGGGAGGAGGTGATGGGATATTTGTGGATTATTTTATTTACTATGGATTCTGTTTTCCTGTGCTAATTTCTTGTTCCTGAGTTACCCATGGATTATCAGCAAAGAAAGTCTATTATGTGCCTGTGTGTCCTAATTTACCATATGTCTGACTGCTATTAGTCTCCCATTTGGTCCCCTAGGGGAGTGTCTACCAAGTGGGAGACCTGCATAAATACGGGTGGGTAGCCCACAGTAAACCCAGTTCATGTTTTACCCTCAATGTGGAGCTTGGTCTCGTTATTGGGGGGGGATTTATTACCAACGACTAGAGACTGCCGGATGGGATTATTAGCCGCTTGGGAGATATATGCGTTCGGCTACTAGAGGCGATTCATGAGTTTGGGAGCTCGTGAAGTGAAGTACCTGTGGCAAACCTAGCCACTTGGGCATTATTTAAGTACTATCACTTTAAGGGTTGCCTGTATGATTTTCGTGTTATGTGTGTTTCTGGGTATAATGTAATATGATTGTGTAGCTTTGTATTGCCTGCATTGGCTATCTGCCAAAAGCAGATGGCTGATTCCCTTTCGTTTCACGAACGGCACCTTTTAAGTGTGTGTTTTAATGAATATGTTTTTCGTGCGGCGTTCGGTTGTTTTAGCTGGGATCTGAGCGGTAATCTCACGAATGATGCGCTCAGACCCCAGCTATCTACCGAACGTCCATTCGTGCAAATAGACCTAACATTCGAAAAACTGTGTATTTTAAAGTAAATTGCCGGTTCTGCTGCACGGAGGGATAATCCACTTAACGTCACATTCCAGTGGGAGGATCCCTCTGATGGGGGAAAGGCTCTGTAATGTAAAATCCCCACGTAGTCCACTCTGGGAATACCCCTGGGATAGGACTCAGGAAACCCTTTGCATGGGGAATTGTATAAATTGTGGAGCCTGTGAATAAAGCCTTCAGTTGACTCTCAGAACTGTGTTTCGTCCGGTTACTGGGAGATTTGGGAGATTGCCTTGCTTTTCAGCGCTTGACTGTGGATTACCTTCTGAACCAGCGGAGATCATGGGATTTAATATTGCCGCTCCGCTACAGTACCCGTACGGGTCCCGTTCAGGAGATAACAGCGTTCCCCTGCTTGCGGTTCGTATGATTGCAGTTGCTACGAATGAAGCCTGCGTTATTGCGAGAGCGGAGGATTCACTAAACGGCGGTTTGTACAGTTGATGCCGAGGGTACCGTTACAAGCTTCATGTAGTACCTCCCATTGTTATACTGTGGTGGCTGCTACTGCCGCGCCATAGGGTACTGTTGCCTCGTTTTGGTAATAGTGAGCGGCTGCTCGTGGTGGTGGTGGACCTGTTCGGATCCAGGTTGTTCGGTCTCGGAGTTGTGGGCAGTCTCTCTTGTAGTGCCCCCATTTGTGGCACTGGTGGCACTGTACGGTGTTGGGTTTCCGGAACCGTTGCTGTGGAGTAGCTGGTGGTGGAAGCTGCCGAGGTGGTGCTGCTGGGCGGGTGGGGTAGGTAGTCGTCATGGTGGGTCTCGCTACTGTCCTGACTGGTACTGGATTCTGTTGTCTGCGGGCATCCATGTATTCGTCTGCTTTCCGGGCTGCTTCGGTGAGGGACGTAGGGTCCCTTACCCACTCTTGGATCTCGGTTGTTAGCCCGTCATAGAATTGCTCTAGTAACATCATTTGTAGTAGGTCCTCCATGGACTGTGCTTTGTGAGCTTGTACCCATCGCTTGGTGTAGTCGACAGGCCCATTCAGCGTGAGAGTCTTTCTCAGTCTTTTTAAGCTCTCTGAACTGCCTCTGGTGTTATGGAGTACCGGGCAAGTATGATTTCCTTGACCCGGCTGTAGTTACGAATTTCTTCATCGAGGACTGTGCGGTACGCCTCCCTGATAGCCGCCCTGCAATGATGGGGACCCAGTCTACGGTATTCACTTTATGTAGGGCACACAGTCTCTCAAAGTCTTGGAGGAATGCATCTATATTCTTCTCTGCCTCTACATATGTTTTAAAAGCCTGGTATGATATTTTAGGCTTACCCTCTTGGATCATAGTCACTGTTTGATTTATTTCTGGGGTTTGCTGGTTCCTCTGTCTCAGTGCAAACTCCTGCACTTCCGTCATGGTTCGGGAGATTATATCTTTTGGTGGGTTTTCGCCATAAAATGACAGTCTGAATTGTAATTCCCTCTGGAACTCAGACTGTTCCTGTTTGACAGTCGAACCGCTCTGTTCGGGATCCGAACTGCCATCCATTCGGTATTCCGCCAACACTTCTGTAACAAGAACAGCTTTTTTCTTGTTGCTACCTTGAATATCCCTTGCTTCAAGAAGATCCTTTAATGTGGACCACTTCAGTGTGGAATAATCAATCTCCATCTGCAATCCATTGGTACTGCTGGTACTTGTTCCCATGTGAGTTCTGGCAGGAGCACCTGGCCCATATAGAAGCGGTTCTAGAGAGGATTAGGGAATCAGATTTAACGCTGAAGCCTGCTAAGTGTAATATAGGGATGGCCGAGGTCCAGTACCTCGGGAATTGAGTAGGCTGCGGGAAGCAGAAACCGGAGCCAGCAAAAGTAGAGACTGTGGCCCAGTGGCCCACCCTCAGAACGAAGACCCAGGTGTAAGCGTTTCTAGGAACGGCAGGTTACTATAGAAAGTACAGTCCATTATACCCAGCATTTTCGTGACTTTTACCCCGCGAACAGAGACCGACCGCAAGGCCAAAATGCATGCGTCGTGTGCGGTCGGTCAAACGAACACCTCCATAAAATTCCCGATCTGGGTGATTTTTGAGTATGTTGCTCACCCTGATCAGGGCTATCAGGGGATATATGATTTAGGGGTGTATCTTATGTATTGGAGTACATCTAGAAAACGGAGAAAAATGTGTGTAAATATTGTTCAGATAATTGGGTTATCTTGCAGGCTGAACGGAGGAGATGTGTGGGCTGTAACCTGTGTATGATTTCTGTGGGTGTCTCCATGCACAGTATGTGGGATTAAACATCAGTTCTGCTCCTGATACTGTGTGTCGTCCAGTTATTGGGAAAGGTGACGGGAGATTCATGGATTATTTTATTTACTATGGATTCTGTTTTCCTGTGCTAATTTCTTGTTCCTGAGTTACCCATGGATTATCAGCGAAGAAAGTCTATGTTAACCTAGCGCTCCGCTACATTTTTTTTTTGTGCACCAGATATACAAACATGCTTATAGAGCCACGCTACCCGGTGTAAGCTTTTCAGGATAGACAATAACATGGCATGAGATATAACGGCACGTTTTTTCATTATAAGTACATGTTGGAAAAGCATGGCTAGGTGGGGTTTAAAATGAGGTGTCACAGACTAAGAGTACTAACTGCCCTGCGTGGGAGACATTGGAAGCATATTGTTACATGCTAACTTAGGTCATTTTATCAGGCTATGTATACCACTGGAACTTGATTTAGGAAGCTTGGTAAACTGCACATTAGTAAAAAACACGATAATAAAAATAACGGAAAGAGGGTAAACATGACAACAATAATGCTTGCTAAATTTGTGCTGTGAATGCCTGAAGGGAAGAAAGCAGCATTCATGAGTGGCTGGACAACACCTGCAGAATGTGGTTGGGTTGCCTAAACAGTGTTGCTGTCAGGTAATAACTGCTAAACATGGTGGGTACAGGTGAGACATAAACATGACATGTCATAGAGGAGACAGAATAGCTGTGATACTACTAGAACATATATGCGGTACTTGTGTGCAGGATTAGCTGTTTCCATTATAATCTCAGACTGTCCAACACGAGGTGTCATGAGAATGCATCCGCCGTGGGCGCTGCAGAGTAGGGCCCAGGTCCGTCGTCAGCCGATGCCGACGAGAGTTGAGGCAGGAGCATATCTTGGGGGGTCCTTCTGTGCGACCACAGAGCGATGTCGGGAAGGGTCAAGCACCCAGGGCAGAATGGGGATCCGCAGTGCTGTGCCACCATCTTGCTTGCCTCTGAAGGCCCAGGCTCTCCCCCTCCGGTGGTACCTGAAGAAGCGTACTGGTGATTTCATGCGGGAAATCTTCCGTCCATGTGAGCGACGCACCAAGGCTTCATTTCAAGTAGCCCTCGGCTCAGGTAAGCCTTTAGTAGGGTAACGTGCCGCCCAGGAGGTTTTTGTACCTTGAGTTGGCCTTCTTGTCTTCGGTAGCACCACTCTCTCTTCTCCTCCCCTGTATCCCAGGCTCGGTAGTCCGGGCAACTTGGCCCAGAAGCTTTGGAAGTTTTTGTCAAGCCATTGTAGGAGACGGTCTATAGAGCCACATGCGTCGCTGTGTGCGGGGTCTGGGCCATGGGAATCAGCGAGGGACGCATCTTGTAAAGCTGGCCGCCTCTCTCCCTCTCCGTCCCCAGCAGGCCGCTACAGAGCAGTCAGGGTTCCCAACAGTGTAGAGTGTCGGGTGAGGTATCAGGAAGCTTGCCTGGCCCCTGACATAAGCAGTGCACATTATGAGGCTTTATAGCTTGGTGGCTGGGGTTAGCACCCTAAAATTAGCAGCCCAAATTGCAGGAGCTCATGCACAGCAAGTCTAGAGTTCTCGAAGGTTAGGCTCCATCCCCCTCGACCTATCCCTTTTATATGTTAAAAGATTCTCCCTATTTAATGTCTGTACTTCCAACCTTTGTCTTTCAAGAGTTTCGACATCATAATTTTTATCTTTAAAAAAAATTGTTAAAATGTTAGCTTGAGCATTATATTGTTTGACATCACTACAATTCCTTGACATTCTAATGTATTGTCCTTTGGGAACATTGTTAAGCCATGGTGGAGTATGGCAACTGGCTAGATCTATACAACTGTTGACTTCGACCTTCTTAAAAAATGTTTTTGTTTTTAAAACCTGATTCTCTACGGAAATTTCCAAATCTAAAAAATGTACCAAATTAAAACTATGTTCACTAGTTAAAATAATGCCCCATACAGTTGGAATGTAATCAAATTAAAACTTATTTTAAAACATCCACGCCACTTTTCCAAATGAAATAAATGTCATCAATGTATCTGTGATAGAGAACCAAGCTCGCACTCCAGACACCCTCTGTCCTCAAGAAGGATTCCTTCCAAAAGGACATAAATAGGTTGGCGTAGCTGGGTGCAAACTTGGTTCCCATCGCACTTCCAACAAGCTGGGAGGCCATAAGCTTTCCCGAAGAGATGGGTTTTAAGGCCCTTCTTAAATGATTGAAGTCTAGGGGAGAGTCTGATGGTGTTAGGCAGGCTATTCAGTAGGAAAGGAGCCGCCCACGAGAGGTCCTGCAAGCGCGAGTTGGCCGTATGGGTGCCAGCAGCGGTCAGGAGGTGGTCACGGGCAGAGCGGAGGGAACGAGGAGAGGCATACCTATGGCTCAGTGAAGAGATATAAGAGGGGCTAGAATTGTTCAGTGCTTTAAAAGTATGGGTTAGCACTTTGAATTGACTCCTATAGGATACAGGGAGCCAATGTATGGACTAGGGGTGAGGTGTGAGAGGACTGACTAGAGAGGAAAATCAGTCTAGCTGCAGCATTCATTACAGACTGTAGTTATTGGGGTGACTTTATTAGATTTTTATTATTAATTGTTCTTTCATAGCAAGACCACTTAATGTTATCTCACATATATATTATTATTCTTATTATTATTCTTATTCTTATTATAGCCAAATTTGCCACCCTAACTCCTCCCACAGTTTTTACACTACATAGACAAAAATTTACCAAAACGTGCAGATTGTTCCCGATCGGATTGCTATTACTTTGTGGAACGTTTCGCCGAATGGTTCACGGAATATCGTCGTTCTTGTGGCGCAATTTGTCCCATAGGAATGAATGGCAAAGCTAGAGTGGGAGCTGGCAAAAGCTGAAAAATCAGGACATGATTTCTAAACTGCCACCACTCCCTTATTTTCAGGCCCACCTACACAAATCTTATATCAAAACGTTCAGCTATCCCTGCTGCCACTAAACATGTCAACGGCTAAGCCATAGTCCTGATAGTTTTCACAATATAATCATTTGTTTGCAACTAACGCCGTCCATTGACATTCATTGAAACTTCACTCTACAAAGCTCAAATTTGAAGTGCAATTTCTAAACTGCGACTGTGCCTTCAATTTTAATACTTCAGAGACATACTATGCATCAAAATGTAGGTCTGGGTCTTGTGATTCTCACAATATAAAGTGATATCCGGGGTGATTTTATTAGCTGTGTATTTATTATTATTATTATTATTATTATTTATTATTATTATTATTTATTATTATTGTATATAAAGTTATTTCCCAGAATCCCCCTGGGCTGCCTGGAAAGTGGGCGTTTCCCATTCTGCCCTCAATAAAAATGGCGGCTGGTGAGGCAGGCGCCGCGTGTTTCCGGTTCCGGTCCGGCTCGTGGTGCAGTTCCGGTAGCGAGGTGAGTGATATCCGGCGGAGAGTGTCCGGCTCGCGCTCCTCGCTCTGTGTAACGCGCTCTCTCTCGCAGTGCAGTAAATATGGCGATGCGGCAAACCCCCCTCACCTGCTCCGGACACACCCGGCCTGTGGTGGACCTGGCCTTCAGCGGGATCACCCCGTACGGAGCCTTCCTCATCAGCGCCTGCAAGGGTGAGCCCCCCAATATCATCACTGTACCCCAATACACTAACCCTGTACCCCCCAATATCTATACCGCCCTCCCTGTACCCCAATATACTAACCCTGTACCCCCCAATATCCATACCGCCCCCTGTACCCCCATACTATACCTGGCCTTCAGCGGGATCACCCCGTACGGAGCCTTCCTCATCAGCGCCTGCAAGGGTGAGCCCCCCAATATCATCACTGTACCCCAATATACTAACCCTGTACCCCCCAATATCCATACCGCCCCCCTGTACCCCAATATACTAACCCTGTACCCCCCAATATCTATACCGCCCCCCTGTACCCCCATACTATACCTGGCCTTCAGCGGGATCACCCCGTACGGAGCCTTCCTCATCAGCGCCTGCAAGGGTGAGCCCCCCTGTACCCCAATATCATCACTGTACCCCAATATACTAACCCTGTACCCCCCAATATCCATACAGCCCCCTGTACCCCAATATACTAACCCTGTACCCTTTAATATCTATACAGCCCCTGTACCCCATACTATACCTGGCCTTCAGCGGAATGCCCCGTCACCAGACCCCTTCACTCATCGAAACATTACTGCAATTAATTTATTATCCATGCTAACCCTGTACCCCCAATATCCATGCAAGCCCTGTACTTACACCCCAATGCTACAATCACTACTGCCCCCTGTACCCCCAATATACTAACCCTGTACTCCCCAATATCTATACAGCCCCCCTGTACCCCAATATACTAACCCTGTACCCCCCAATATCCATACCGCCTCCCTGTACCCCCATACTATACCTGGCCTTCAGCGGGATCACCCCGTACGGAGCCTTCCTCATCAGCGCCTGCAAGGGTGAGCCCCCCAATATCAATATACTAACCCTGTACCCCCCAATATCCATACCGCCCCCTGTACCCCAATACAATCACTACTGCCCCCTGTACCCCCAATATACTAACCCTGTACTCCCCAATATCTATACAGCCCCCCTGTACCCCAATATACTAACCCTGTACCCCCCAATATCCATACCGCCTCCCTGTACCCCCATACTATACCTGGCCTTCAGCGGGATCACCCCGTACGGAGCCTTCCTCATCAGCGCCTGCAAGGGTGAGCCCCCCAATATCAATATACTAACCCTGTACCCCCCAATATCCATACCGCCCCCTGTACCCCAATACAATCACTACTGCCCCCTGTACCCCCAATATACTAACCCTGTACTCCCCAATATCTATACAGCCCCCCTGTACCCCAATATACTAACCCTGTACCCCCCAATATCCATACCGCCTCCCTGTACCCCCATACTATACCTGGCCTTCAGCGGGATCACCCCGTACGGAGCCTTCCTCATCAGCGCCTGCAAGGGTGAGCCCCCCAATATCAATATACTAACCCTGTACCCCCCAATATCCATACCGCCCCCTGTACCCCAATACAATCACTACTGCCCCCTGTACCCCCAATATACTAACCCTGTACTCCCCAATATCTATACAGCCCCCCTGTACCCCAATATACTAACCCTGTACCCCCCAATATCCATGCAGCCTCCTGTACCCCCCCATACTATACCTGGCCTTCAAGCGGGGATCACCCGTCACGCAGACCTTCCTCATCCCAGCGCCTGCGTGAGGCCCAATATCCATACCTTGTACCCAATATACCAACTTCCTGTACCCCCAATATCTATACCGCCCCCGTACCCCAATATACTAATCCTGTACCCCCCAATATCTATACCGCCCCCTGTACCCCCAATATACTAACCCTGTACCCCTCAATATCTATACCGCCCCCTGTACCCCAATACAATCACTACTGCCCCCTGTACCCCGATACGATCACTACCACCCCAATACGGCCCACTGTACCCCAATAGCATCACTACCACCCCCTACGGATTGTTCTTGATCAGCGCGTACCCTGATACTGCCCCCTGGACCTTGATAGCGTCACTACTACCACCACTATCGTTCCTGATCAATGCCTGCAAGATGATAGCCTCTATATTAGCTCTGTACCCACGATCTGCAGCAATCTGCAGTACAGCATCACAAGTGATATTATTCTTTGTCACCACTAGATAATATTAAATCCCAATAGTGTCTCTAGATGCCTGTTACCCCTCCACCACCTTTCCTAACCTGCTATATTGTCCCGATACTGATAGTACTTCTCTTTCTTGTTTTATGGCACGCACCGTAACGTTTGCTTTGAATCTTAAAGCATATGAGACTGTTTGTTTTTCCTGGTAGATGGCAAGCCAATGCTTCGGCAGGGAGATACCGGTGACTGGATTGGCACGTTTTTGGGCCACAAAGGTGCTGTTTGGGGAGCCACTCTGAATAAAAATGCCACAAAGGCAGCCACTGCAGCCGCAGACTTTACAGCGTATGTAAAAATGGTGAAAACCATCAATTTCTAATTTTATTCTGTGTGTCAGCAAACGCCAATAAACCTACTGAAATAAATATTGCCGGAAATGAGTGTCTTCAAGTAACTAGTCCTGTACTTGCATTGATTGGAGGGCGTGCTTACCCTGTTGTTCTCCTTTATATTTAAAGCGATACTCCTCTGGGTACCAATACAACCTTTTATGTTTTTGTTTTCTCTCTATACTAGAGCGAGGGGGGCAGCCAGAAGCCGGCTTGTGAGCATGAAAAATATAGATAACATATTGATAAATCCTTAATCTATCAAATTAAAGGTCCACTCTAGGCACCCAGACCACTTCAGCTTAATGAAGTGGTCTGGTTGCCAGGTCCAGCTAGGGTTAACCCACTTTTTTTAATAAGGTTTTTTTTTTTTTTTAATATATATAAACATAGCAGTTTCAGAGAAACTGCTATGTTTATAAATAGGTTAATCCGGCCTCTAAAGCCGCTAGTGGCTGTCTCATTGACAGCCGCTAGAGGGCTTCCGCGTTTCTCACTGTGAGCATTATGAATGCTTTCCTATGAGACCAGCTGAATGCGCCCAGCTCCTGTCACGCATGTGCATTCAGCCAAGGAGAGCTCCCCGCCCAGCGCTGGAGAAAGGTGAGTGTTTAACCCCTTCCTCTCCCCAGAGCCCAGCGGGAGGGGGCACCCTTAGGGCACTATAGTGCCAGGAAAACGAGTTTGTTTTGCTGGCACTATAGTGGTCCTTTAAAATATTATTGGAGGTCGGAGTTTCCCAGTTTGTAACTGGGGCTTTTCCTTATTCTCCTGTAATGTAAAACTTTGTTTTACCTGTTTTCTAACGTCGGTCTTGCTTCTCGTACCATATATTTGCAGTGGGATATACAGGTAATTACTGGATAACTGTGCTGATTGTTACAGTAAATGCGTTTTGTGTTGTGTACTGCTTTAAATTTACACCAGTCCCTGCTTCCTTATATTGACAGGCATGCTGTCCCGCTAATCATTTTGTCCCATTGGAAAGACCAGCTTTTTAAATGTACATCATTGGTCACCAAGCGTGTAACTGTAGTGACATATGTTGGTCACAAAGGTGTTAAGAATCAAAGTATTTGTTGCGGCTGGCTTTATTTATAACCTTACATTGCATAGGAACATGTCAGGAAGAACAAGTAGTCCATGTTCAGGAAGCCACACTGGTTGCACAACTTAATATCTAGAAACCGATTCAAATTCTGTTTATGGAATAATGTTCTATGGAAAGTTATGGTAGCATTTGGTGTGGGCAGTGCCAACCTGCTGTATTTAAAAGGCCTGGTGGTTTACTGTTTATTTCGGGTTGGTTTTTGAATACTTCTTTTTGTCCATCTTAAAGGACCACTTCAGCTTAATGAAGTGGTCTGGGTGCCAGGTCCTTCTAGGGTTAACCCATTTTTTTATAAACATAGCAGTTTCAGAGAAACTGCTATGTTTATCAATGGGTTAAGCCTTCCCCTAATCCTCTAGTGGCTGTCTCATTGACAGCCACTAAACTGCGATAACTTCTCACTGATTTTCACGGTGAGGCAGCATAGCGTCCATAGAAAGCATTGTAAGTAACTTTCCACATCGCGGCACCGAGGAAGCTGGTAAATACTTGGCAGCGCGCTCAGCGCAGCAGCGTGCGCATTCCAGCAGGAGGGAGGGAGGGAGGGAGGAGGAGGAACGGAGGAGGAGAGAAGGAGAGCTCTCCGCCCAGCGCTGGAAAAAGGTAAGTTTTTAACCCTTTCCCCCTTCCAGAGCCGGGCTCGAGGGGGACCCTGAGGGTGGGGGCACCCTCAGGGCACTATAGTGCCAGGAAAACGAGTGTTTTCCTGGCACTATAGTGGTCCTTTAACAAAGTATTAAAATGTCTGCTACGGGTGGTGATGCTGTTTCAATGAAAACTAATTTTACTGTTTTGTTTTTCAGGAAAGTGTGGGATGCTGTGACAGGGGACGAGATCATCACATTGGCACACAAACACATAGTAAAAAGCGTGGATTTTACAGAGGTAACATTGAGTGGCTCTACGTGATTAAAGTAATTTGGGTTAAATCAGACCTGTTTATTTGGTAAAAACTAATCTGGTCCTGAGTTCAGAAATCCAGACACTGTCTGCATACAGTTACTATAGCGTGGTGTGCTCAGACGCTATTATCTGTTATCTATAGATTTCATTAAATACGCTCAAGTATGTATAAAACTGAGACTATTCCTTGTATCCAAATATATCAATTTTATTAGTCAATCGTTGAATAACGTGGTCTGTCCATTCTCCCTGACGATTGATGTGTAAAATGGCCCAGGAGAGCCAGTTAGGGCCATGTGGCTGTGAGTGCTTATTGTGTGTGGATTGATGTGTAAAATGGCCCAGGAGAGCCTGTTAGGGCCATGTGGCTGTGAGTGCTTATTGTGTGTGTGGATTGATGTGTAAAATGGCCCAGGAGAGCCTGTTAGGGCCACGTGGCTGTGAGCGCTCAGTGTGTGTATCGATGTGTAAAATGGCCCAGGAGAGCCTGTTAGGGCCACGTGGCTGTGAGCGCTCAGTGTGTGTGTATCGATGTGTAAAATGGCCCAGGAGAGCCTGTTAGGACTACGTGGCTGTGAGCGCTCAGTGTGTGTGTATCGATGTGTAAAATGGCCCAGGAGAGCCTGTTAGGACTACGTGGCTGTGAGCACTCATTGTGTGTGTATCGATGTGTAAAATGGCCCAGGAGAGCCTGTTAGGACCACGTGGCTGTGAGCACTCATTGTGTGTGGATTGAAGCTGCTTCTGGGCAATAAACCTGAAGATCAGACTCCACTTTGTGCTGTATTTCCGTTCTCTTCCCATTGTTTCCACTTAATCCGTAGTATACAATGATCACTCATGTTTCTCTGTTCAGGATAGCAACAATCTGCTGACAGGAGGCCAGGATAAACTGTTGCGCATATATGACTTGAATAAACCAGAAACTGGTAAGTTCTGATGTTTCTTTGTTTTCGTTGGTGGAAACTATATTTCTAAAATCTGACAAATTAATTTTTAATGGTCTGAAATCGTGACTTGACGCTCCCCTGCAGATTTGCCACGTTCCGCTGAGCTAAGCTCATTTTATGAACTGTTTTCTCCACGTAAAAGTGAAGGTCCGCAATTACAATGTTTACAAATAAAGTAAATTGGGCATAATGTGTAAAACAGGGAGGGATAACCACTTGTCCGTTTTTCATTTTTTTATAAAAAGAATGATTTTATGTGATAAGCAAACAGGAGATGTGTTGTGTAAATCCTTGCTTTATTGAAAGCAACAGATGTCCATGTACTTGGTACAGGGCTGAGGATTTCTTCTACCCATTGAATGTAAAACCATGCAGCTTGCTAGTGTACCTATGTGGCCGATCTCTTCACTGTGTAACAAACCTGTTTCTTTCTAGAACCAGAGGAGATCAGCGGTCATACGTCTTCAATTAAGAAAGCTCTATGGTACAACAATGAGAAACAGATAATTTCTGCCGCAGATGATAAAACTGTCCGGTAAGTATTATGTGATTTGATGATGGCTCTCCGCACTTCCTGAGCAAACCGTGGCTTGACAAGGTGACTCGCAGGCCTAGGTGTGAGTGTCTGAGAGTAAGGTGCTTGTTGGCCTCTTTCTCCGGTCTTTGCCTGGTGAAGAAAAGTCCTTACTTTGGTTTCCTGTTTGAAATGAACCAATGTCCCCTCCAAGGTAGTCACAACGTGACCATGTGATTGAACTCTTCAACAAGAACTGCAGGCCATTTCGGAGGGGATTCTGGGAATGGTATCAGGATGAACCTTATAAAGTCAATGTCTGTTCTGTAAATACTCCTCTACATCCTGCTCATGCCTAACTCTCTCGGTTAATCTGGCTGATGGTAGCTTGATACACTATAATTTAATGGAGTCTTTGGATCTATGTTCCAGAACGGTAAGTGGATATGGCAGAGCTAATCACACAAAATAAGGAGAACCCAGTGAAGTCCAAGGAATGAGTCATCCCAGGATGTCAAAACACGTGGACGTTGGCAGCAAGTTTTTTTTATTTTTAAATCGAATATTCGCATTTAGCACCCCAAGAAGTTCAGAGAAAACATGGTGTCCTGATCATTTTAAACCGATGTTTCCTGAATTGTCATACAGAATTCCCATCCCACCCCTGTTTTATTGGGATCTAACTAAAGTTGGTGTTTTACTATGTATTTGTTACCTTGTGAGCAATTCTGCACTCGTGTGATCCATTAACACGACCTCTATGTAATGTATGTGTTATTTAGACTCTGGGACAGAGCAAGCAAGAGCGAAGTGAAGACTCTGCAGTTTGGGATGTCTGTTAGCAGCATGGAGTACATTCCGGATGGAGAGACCCTTCTCATCACATATGGAAGAACAATTGCGCTGTATAATACTACAAGGTATGAAGTTAAAGATGAATGTTGGTCTCTGTAACCGGGGAACACTGTTCAGTCAGTGGGATATGTGCTATAGCTTGGGGAATATAAGGTGGTTTCTCCTTGTCTCTCCTCTCCCTCAGCATCAAATCCTTTAGATTGTAAGCTCACTGGCTATCTAACTAAGCACTTTGTATAAAAGAGCTTAAATGGCTAGATCTCAGCTTACGGGCAGGGCTCTCTACCTGTGTATTTGTCTGTATGTTCTTCACTAATTGTACAGCGCTGTGGAAAATGTTGGCGCTTTATAAATACCTGTAATCATAATAAAGAAATTGCAAGTAGTGTATCTGCAGTTAAAGCGGCACTGTCATGCCGAATCTTGTAATAGGTAAAGACAGAAGCGGCAGGGAGCAGTGCTCTCCACCACTTCATAAGCCCCCCTCACTCTATGGGGGTCAATATGACCCCCATAATAGCACAAGGGAGATTAAAATCTCTCCAATGACCCTACTCGCTATACCACGAGTAGGAGCATGTCCACTAAACAGTGAGCTGATCACTGTAAAAAAAAAACTCTTGGCCCCACCCGTCGTTTAGGGGTGGGGGCCAATGTATTTTTTGTTTTGTTTTTACAGTGAGCAGCTCACTGTTTAGTGGACATGCTCCTCCTCGCGGTTAAACGACGGGTGGGGGCCCTAAAGTAAAATAAGGGGAGACCTAATGTTCTCCCCCCCCCACTCCTGGGCGGTGGGTGGGGGCCTTATTGATAATGGGGGGACCTACTTATTTTTTTATTTTTTTTTTGTGAGCAGCCACAGGCTGCTCACTGCTTACTAGACATGCCCCTACTCGCAGTATAGCGAGTAGGGGCAGCATTTACTAATACTAAGTAATCTTTACTTAGTATTAGTAAATGTGGCTGAAAGACCAATTTAGGTCTTTCAGACTTTTAGTAGATAGCTCCCGAATACCATGGGGAACCACAGCAAGAATAGGATCGGAGTTTCATTCATTCAAATAAAATTCCGATCCGAAAAGAAACGAACATACTGTTCTCATTCAGTTAGAACGCAATTCGGCAGTTTCGTGTAAAATGACAGGAAGCATTGTGGGAACACAGAGGGAAGGTAAGGATCATGGGAAAATTGCTCTGACCAGCGGAAATGAAGCACACTTTGCTCCTCCGCTGGTCAGAGCTGGTCAAGCGGAGGAAACCTCCATAAGGCAAAGAGTCCCTACTTTGTCTTATGATTTTAAAGAAAACTAAAGAAGACAGGAAGAAAAGAATAACAGATCCTGAGAGAGGGGGAGAAGAGGAAGATATTGAGGAAAGGTAAGTTCGGCATGACAGTGCTGCTTTAAACACTGACCTAAAATAACCAGTTGTGGTTCAGGAATATTTGCTATCAGTTATTTTGGTTGAAATTCAAGGCTGCAATTATCACATTACTAGTAAACTCGAACTTAATTTGATTTGTGGTTGGTTTATTTTGCTTCTCAACGGGCAATTGTTTTTAAATACCGCCATAGAATAAATTCGCAGGATTTCTTTTCCCGTATTCTGAATCAATGTTTTTTTTTTGGCTCTTATTTTTATGACTTTTTTTTTTTTGTATTATGACTCTTTTTTTTTTATTTTATTTTTTATTTATTTATTTTTTTTCCAGTCTTGAGCTGGTCAAGTCATTTGAAGCCCCTGCACCAATCAATTCAGCTTCTCTGCACCCTGAGAAAGAATGCATTGTAGCTGGCGGTGATGACTTCAAGTTGTATAAATACGATTATAGTACCGGAGAGGAGCTAGGTGAGTTACAGGTCTATAGTGGCCACTTACTTTGACCTCCCTAAACCTTTTAAAGGGACACTCCACAGGTCAAATACAAGAAATAACTAGTAAACACCAATTAAACACTTATAATTTTTTTTTTTTTTAAATATATTTTTGGTTATACCTAAAACTAGCTTGAAAAAAAAGCTACAGATCTATTGTCTTTCAGTCTGTGTGACAAACGCAGAGGTAATTTGTGGATGCACGTGCCCTCTAACAAGTTTAGTTACTGAATCGGGAAGATAACCTCCCTCTGTGTTTTTGCAATTTATAAAGTTTCCCATTTCAAATCGGAATGAGCCCTTGTATAAACTGTAATACTGAGTGATCCCTGTGTCTGTATCGTAGAATCCTACAAAGGCCACTTTGGTCCAGTGCACTGCGTGCGGTTCAGCCCAGATGGAGAGTTATACGCTAGTGGCTCAGAAGATGGGACTCTCCGACTCTGGCAAACTGCCGTTGGCAAGACATACGGACTGTGGAAATGTGTCCTACCAGGTAACATGGTTTGGAATGTGTTTATTTGCAGCTACAATTATACTTTTTTCAGGTTAAAATGTCTTTTAATGGGTCACCCGAAGTATGGTGATAATGCAAGATTGGTATTTTTATGGTGAAGGTCACTGATTTAACTAATTTGCATCACAGAGCTTTAAGCCAGTAGCCTTTCTCCGATGCCAGGGAGATAACCCAATTGGATAAGAAAAACAGACCAGAGGGCCCTTCTCCCTGTCTGTGAGGGTCTGCCTCTGCACAATCTTCCTCTATTCTAATGGTGGTGGGTGGTGAAGGCCTGGTGTGATGTTTGCTAGTTAACCCAGATGTCAATACTCTTTAAGTTATTGGATCCTAAGTAAAAGCCATTCAATAACAAACCCCAATAGCTGACTTTTTCCTCGAATAATCAAATCTTTCTACAGTGTCTTGAGCAGTCGGGAATTCTGGGTAGGACGGCTGTGGTTTGGCTCAAGTAGGGCCCCATGCGGCAGTCGGGTTTTTTTTTTCTTCAAGAAAAACCTCAGTTTCTGAGGGTGAAGGCGCTGGTAAAATATCTTATGAAGATGGTCTCAGAGAAAGTCCTGTTAATTTTAGCCTCTTCACCATTATTGCAATAGAAGTAAAATGATATGATATAGCTTTAATAAACCAACTTTATTCATTAATCTGTGTCTTGTTTGTTTTGACAAATGTACACTTCTAAAACCTAACAAATCTATTCTAAAAGGATCCCACTTCTCTATCGCGTAGCTTACTCCTAGTCCTACTCAGACTAGTTTAGCACACTGTGTAGCTATATTGTAGCTCACTTGTAAAATGACACTCTAGGCACCAAAACCACTTTAACTTGAATTGGTATTTGTGCATAGATCATGCCTCTGCAGTCTCACTGCTCAATTCTCTGCCATTTATGAGTTAAATTGATTTGTTTACATCTCTCCTGCATGTGACTTGTACCGCATTAAAAAAAAAAGTTTCCTGTAAAGGAAAATCTAATGTTTGTAATTTATTGCACAGTCTGTTTAATTTAGAATTTATCTTGAGTCACATGGAGTGACTAGGGCTGCATAAACAAAGTGGTTTAACTCCTTAATGGCAGAGGGGTATGATCTATACATCAGTACTACTTCGTTATGCTAAAGTTGTTTTTGTTAATAGTCTGGTGCTGTGACACAAGATGATTTGGGGGTGTGTTGTATCTGATTTTTACTTTCAAATTCTTTTCCACATCCATCTTTTATTTTTTGATAGTAGGAAGTAGAGTAAATAATGTCTCTGCTTAATTTGATCTAAATCATTCCAGAACAGCCTAAACTGACCCTAGAGTTTTACTGATCTGTGTCTTGCCCACACGGCCCTGTATGAGTGCTTTGACTGCCTATGTCTCTGAATAGCTTAAAGGACCACTATAGTGCCAGGGTCAAGAGGGGTTAAGCACTTACCTTTCTCCAGCACTGGGCTCCCTCTTCAGATGTCCTCCATTTTTCAATGCTTTCCTATGGACGTCCAGCGTCTTCTCACTGTGAAAATCAGTGAGCATCGCGGAAGCGCCTCTACTGGCTATCAATGAGACAGCCACTAGAGGCTGGATTAACGCTCAGTGTAAACATAGCAGTTTATCTGAAACTGATATGTTTACAGCGGCAGGGTTAACCCTAGATGGACCTGGCACCCAGACCACTTCATTGAGCTGAAGTGGTCTGGGTGCCTATAGTGGTCCATTTTAAGTGACAATTCACATCAAAATTTAATTTTATTTTTTTTTTAACAAAAATCATTTTGTCAAGTGCATATGAAGTTGTTTCTCTTAATAAAGCTTACGTTCTATTGTCCATATTGATAGACCTTTCTGTCGTATTTTTGCAGAAGAGCTTGTTTCAGAAAACCCCGATGCAGTTTACAGCTCGACTCCTGAGATTAAAGCCTGAACAAAGAGCGGTGTCTCCAGAAACCTAGAAAGCAGACATTGACACAAAGCAAATGTCAAGAGACTGACTCCTTCCAGAGTATCCTCCACCCCAAGCAATGGCGACCATCTATTGGGAATCTCTGCTGGAACAGACGGGGCTGGAAGTTGTGACTAATTTAGCCAGAGCTTGTCTTTTGTGAAGAGAAACGTCCGTCCTTTCACTTTGGAGGGAGACGCCAGGGCTGTTTCTGTATTTGGAGAGGGGAGGATAAAGCTTTAATTTGTCTTTAATGTTGGGAGAGTTTCCTAGTACTTACGTTTGTCCTCTTTACTCATATTGCTTCTCCTAGCAGCTCAGATGAATAAAATCTGTAAACGTCCAATGATTTAAGAATGTGACTAAAAACCTATAAAATGGCGTTCATTTTAGGGCATAAACTGCAGAGGGATTTAGCTGTGAGTGGTTTGATTACATTTTAGGCACTATGACATGCGTGAATGCTTATGTGCCAGTGCGCCCCTCCCCACTGTAAGGCATCAATATTTATTTAAAATATTTGATTAAGATTTGGTTTCTGAGAGGGGGATGGGGGGGGACTGCTGAGTGCCACTTTCCATGTCCACTACCTCAGCTTGCTTGGGAGCTTTTATTCATACACTGGAGCTATGCCCTGCTGTACTATACTTCTGCAAATGTTTGCATTAACAATACAACTTATAGGCAAATTCATCTGGCTCCCTATAATTTAGCTTTTATGGCATAAATATGAAAATGGTTGGGGCTTATGTCCGAGAAGAAGCAATGCTAAGAAAATAAGGTATTCTATTGGCGGTGCTGTACTCTGAAGACTACAATGTGAGCTGTTCTGGAACGGTTAAAATGTGTGGAATCTACAGGTGCTTTGTTTAACTCCTTAAGGACACATGACATGTGTGACATGTCATGATTCCTTTTTATTCCAGAAGTTTGGTCCTTAAGGGGTTAAAGGACCACTATAGGCACCCCGACCACTTCAGCTCAATGAAATGGTCTGGGTGCCACCTCCCTCTAGTTTTAACCCTGCAGCTGAAAACAAAGCTTTACAGAGGGTTAATCCAGCTGCTATCGGCTGTCTCACTGACAGCCGCTTACGCGATTCTCACTGTGAGAAGATGCTGGACGTCCATAAGAAAGCACAGAGTAATGCTTTCCTATGGGTGGTTGAATGTGCCGAGGGGCTCTTTCTGTGCGTGCCCACTCGGATCTGATGTCTGCAGGGGAGGAGAGGGAGCCCGGTGCTGGGAAAGGTAAGTGGCTGTAGGGGTTTTAATACCCCCTGACGGTGGGGATCTAATGACCCTATAGTGCCAAGAAAATGAGTTTGTTTTCCTGGTACTATAGTGGTCCTTTAAATCTAAAATGGGAACCATATTATAATAGCAGCTATAGCACTCGATGGGCATTGCCTGTTAAACCCATAAAACAAAAAAGTGATAAACCACCCACAGTATACAGGGCAGCGTTTAATAGAAATTCACATGCAGATTGATAGCAGCTTACCTAAATATTTAATATACAGTGGGGAAATGTTTTCACATATAAAAAAAAGATTTAGTGCAGTTCTGCTATGAGTAATAGTGAAAAAAAATTGAGAATAAATGCTCACAATTAAAAAGCCTCTTGAATGTGAGTGTTTTCTGTGCATTCCGGTAGCAACACAACCTCTAATGTATATTACTTTGTTCTCTAATGGGGTATATATAAAATAGTGCAGTATCCTCTTATATGTTTAATGCTCCTTTTTTAGGAGCCCATAGAATACTGGCCCCAAGTTTTAACACATGCCAATTATTGAGGGCAGAATCACCTTTGTTTTGGTCCAATGGTGTGCTCATTTTGTAAGGGACGTGATGGGCCTGTGTTTCAAACTCAGCCTTCCTTACCTCTCACCCTGGAATTTTGTTAGCTACGTAGTTATATAGGCTGAAAAGAGAAATGTGTCCGTCAAGTTCAGGCTTCCTCATATCTGGTTTTTGCTGTTGATCCAAAAGAAAATCCCAGTCTGAAGCACTTCTAATTTTGCAACAACCTAGGAAAAAATGATCTCTTGCTCCCAGAATGGCAGTCAGATTTATCAATTGGATAAAGAAGCTATTACCCTACAGTTGAAATATTCTGTTGGCTGGTTTTCGTGAGAAGGGAAGTGGTGTATGCTAGAAAGAGAACTCCCGACACGTCACTTCTGCATTTCAGGATCGTTCGTTTGCCCAAACGTATTCATCTTGTTTAAACTACCAAGACCATAAATCTGTGTGCGACCAGCACTCGATAAATTCAAAACAAAGAAGGTAAGAAGAGAAAGATAAAAGCAGTATCAGTCTTAGACATATTGTACTATCTTATTATAGGAAATATGTAAAATACCTAAAATAAAAGAAAAAATAATTAAGACATTGGAATCGGCTAAGGAAAGCCAAGATCCTACAGAAGAACATCCAGTGTAAGTCGAGAATTATCTTCAGAGATGCAACAAACATTAAAAGCAAACAAGTAAGGAGTCATAGAGACCCAACGAAGAAACTGAATACCAGAAGTAGGAAGAAAGGCCTTTATGCATGCAGCAATTGCATTTCTTACAAGATAAACTCTTAAAGGTGTCTAACGGATTGCTTCGACACTTGGCAAAGAAACTTTCAAAATAAAGAATTTCCTCACGTGATCGCAGTAATGTAAGATATATCTTCAAATGCCCTTGTGGACTGCAATCCGTGGGTAGAACCAATAGAAGATGTCTACAGCATCCGGTATCGGCACATTTTGCAGAAATGCATGGAGCTGATGCCAATCTCCTAGAATTTGAAGCCATCTGTCATGTGACAAAAAAATGGAGAGAAGGAAACTATACTAGGGAACTTGGTAGAAGAGAAATGGAGTGGATCTTCCTATTAAACACGATACAACCGAATAGTCTAAATGTAGAATTTAAACTTTGTCATTTCTTGGACCAATAACTACTCTGTAGTAAAAAAAAACTAGATCTGTCTGTAAAGATAAAGACTTAGTGAGAGGAAATCTGATGCCAAGTTTATGTTGGTTGTAGGGTAATTAGGGCATAACCTAAAATGAAGATGCAGAGAAAGATTAGACTAGGCTTGCAAAAATCGGCACCAATAATAATATTACCCTTGTTTGAATTAACTAAACAGGTATTAGGCTAAGTGCCTTGATTAAAAACACAAACTTTATTGAATCCCTATACGGGTACAGAAATCACACACAAAAAGATAATAATTGTAGTGAAAGTGTCAGCCAATCCTGAACAAAATGCTGTTAAGAGCTGTGAAACCTGACCTGGACTCTGCTAGTATGGAGTCTTGGGTCTGATATAGCACTATTTCCGTATAGCTCCAGGACACAGAGAGCAATTATAATTGTTTAGTAGGTAGGACAATCAATTATATTCCAAGGCTACACAACAGCAGGGTGAATAGATTGAATCTCTGATACTAGGTTTGACAGTGAAATGCAGCATATCCCAAATTGTTACACTAACAAACGGGCCGCTAGCAGTGTAGCGGAGCGCTAGTCTAGTAGGGACTTTTCTCCGCTGGTTTTCTCCAAGATGACTCAGGAACAAGGAAATGCAGAAAAGCAGTACAAGATTCTCCCAACACCTCCCCAGTAACTAGACGACACTCAGTTTAGGGGGAATAACAGATGGTTTAATGCTGGCACAATGCCTTTTATGTGATTTTCCTCACAAGGTTACCACCCAGATGGACCTTGTGGAGCACCGAGTTACAAAGTTAACAGACCAATGAAACAGGGTTATACATAGAGACACTCCCATACAGTATGTACAAGCCCTCCCCTCTGCCTGGTAGATAATTGAGGTAGATAATGTAATAACTCAATTATCTCCAGGCAGGAAAAAACACATTTTTCACATTTTTCCAGAAGTAATCCAAAAACATTACATATCCCCATAAATGGTACATCCCCGAATAGCTATGATCTGGGTGAACAACATATCCAAAAATCATCCAGATCAGATCAGAGGTTCACAATGTCTTTTATGAACATTGTGAAAATTCTGTGGAAGTCACATTTGACCAACCGCACGCTTGATTTCATGCCCAAAAGAGTTCCAGAGAATTAGGCTGTGCGGCCGGTCTATCTTCTTCCATATACTGTGTAATTTTCACGAATGGATCCGTTCGTGCATACCTTTGTTATATGTATCTCATTCGGTAGATTGTTTTTACCGAATAGTGCTCTGTTTGTGCACTCACAGGTGAACTTCGATGGAGGTGGAAGTCCCAGCGGTTTTCGCGCCATCGAGTGTCCGATTTTATTTCTATGCACTCGCTGTCTTTGATCGTGTCCCAAGATGGCCGCCGCCATGTGTTCGTCTATACGAACCATGACCAGACGACCACCCAGCCGACTGCTTGGAATGTTCATGTGGTTGCGGTTTGTGGAGGTGTTAACTGAGTTAATGAGCGACACACTTCATAGCAGGGTGGTCTGCCATTTGGTAGTTTGTTCGGTTGTTGTACAAAACCGTGGGAACCATTGAAGGGAATGGATTTTGACGAACGGCCAGGCGAAACAGGGGAAAATATAGGTAACAAAGCCAAGGGAATAAGTTTTGCACAGTTAGGGTTACTTTCTCACACAGTGGGTCAATCAAGGAGAGGGGAAAACAAGGGGGATATGACAGCCCAGAGTTGGTATAAATAGGATAGCAGGGTCCATTCTGCTACAAGCAGTATAAGAGAAGAGCCCCAATTAGTATATCTTAACCTATCATGAATGTGCTAGGTAGCTGTTTAGAAGAACTGCAGATCCTGACAGCACACTGCTATGCTAATATAGAGAGCTGTGGGTGATGTAGCACTTAGTTAGATATGGCAGCAAAAGTCGAAAGATGATAAACATAAGCATAACCTTATTGCTGTGCTATTATGAGAGAAATCCCATCAAAGTGCTATCTATAAGGAGAGCAGACTGTCTAATCTGTCTAAGACTATCATTAATCATTGTAGCTGGAGTTAAATCTGAAAAAGGTTGGTACAAATACCTGATACTACGAGTAACGCCTGATACTAATCTGCTCGTTGCTCTAAGGCAACCCCTATTCTAACTGACTAGGCTGCAAGACTCCGGTATAGGGATCTACCTATGAACAAGGATTCCTAAGCAGGGGCGTACCTAGAGCATTTGGCACCCGGGGCGGATCCCCCCCCCCAAAAAAAAAACAACAAAAAACCTGTCCCTTCTACAAATCCTGTACTGCCTCGTCTACAAAACCCCCGCAACCCCCTTCCACAAATCCCCTGCTTATCCCCCCTTATAAAGACTCCTGTCCCAATACAAAACCCCCGCCCCCTTCTACAAAATCCCTGCAGCCCCACACACATTTACAGGCAGACAGTCACACACTCAGTTACAGACAGACAGTCACACACTCAGTTACAGGCAGACAGTCACACACAGTCACAGGCAGACAGTCACACATACACATTTCCTCCG